ATAATACTGTCAGTCAGTATGACATGCAGATGAGTGCCGTCGATCTTAGAATCACCGCACACTTCACTCATTTGGGCAGTCACGGGGCACGACGAAGAAGAAGAAGAAGAAGAATGAAAAGAAGAATGAAAAGAAGAAGAAGAAGAATGAAAAGAAGAAGAAGAAGAATGAAAAGAAGAATGAGAAGAAGAATGAAAAGAAGAATTAAAAGAAGAATGAAAAGAAGAATTAAAAGAAGAATGTGAAAAAGAAAAGAAGATGAAGAAGAATGAAAAGAAGAAGAATGAAAATAAGAATGAAAAGAAGAAGAAGAAGAATGAAAAATAAGAATGAAAAGAAGAAGAAGAAGAAAGAAAAGAAAGAAAAGAATGAAAAGAAGAATTGAAAAGAAGAAGAATGAAAAGAAGAAGAATGAAAAGAAGAATGAAGAAGAGAAAGAATGAAAAAGAATGAAAGAAGAAGAAGAAGAATGAAAAGAAGAATGAGAAGAAGAATGAAAAGAAGAATGAAAAGAAGAATGAGAAGAATGAAAAGAAGAATGAAAAGAAGAAGAAGAATGAAAAGAAGAAGAATGAAAAGAAGAATGAAAAGAAGAAGAATGAAAAAGAAGAAGAAGAAGAATGAAAAGAAGAATGAAAAGAATAAGAAGAAGAATGAAAAGAAGAAGAAGAAGAATGAAAAGAAGAATGAAAAGAAGAGAAAGAATGAAAAGAAGAAGAAGAATGAAAAAAGAAGAAGAAGAATGAAAAGAAGAATGAGAAGAAGAATGAAAAGAAGAATGAGAAGAATGAAAAGAAGAATGAAAAGAAGAAGAAGAAGAATGAAAAAAAAAGAAGAATGAAGAATGAAAAGAAGAATGAAAAGAAAGAAGAAAAGAAGAAGAATGAAAAGAAGAAGAAGAAATGAAAAGAAAAGAAGAATGAAGAAGAAGAAGAAAGAAGAAGAAGAATGAAAAGAAGAATGAAAAAGAAGAATGAAGAAGAAGAAGAAGAATGAAAAATGAAAAGAAGAATGAAGAAGAAGAAGAAGAATGAAAAGAAAGAAGAAGAATGAAAAGAAGAAGAAGAAGAAAAGAAGAAGAAGAAGACTGAAGAAGAAGAATGAAAAGAAGAAGAAGAATGAAAAGAAGAATGAAAAGAAGAAGAAGAATGAAGAAGAAGAAGAAGAAGAATGAAGAAGAATGAAAAGAAGAAGAAGAAGAATGAAAAGAAGAAGAATGAAAAGAAGAAGAAGAATGAAAAGAAGAATGAGAAGAAGAATGAAAAGAAGACTGAAAAGAAGAATGAGAAGAAGAAAAGAAGAATGAGAAGAAGAAGAAGAATGAAAAGAAGAAGAAGAAGAATGAAAAGAAGAATGAGAAGAATGAAAAGAAGAATGAAAAGAAGAAGAAGAAGAATGAAAAGAAGAAGAAGCAGAATGAAAAGAAGAAAGAAGAAGAATGAAAAGAAGAATGAAAAGAAGAAGAAGAATGAAAAGAAGAAGAAGAATGAAAAGAAGAATGAAAAGAAGAAGAAGAAGAATGAAAAGAAGAAGAAGAATGAAAAGAAGAATGAAAAGAAGAAGAAGAAGAATGAAAAGAAGAATGAAAAGAAGAAGAAGAAGAATGAAAAGAAGAAGAAGAAGAAGAATGAAAAAGAAGAAGAAGAAGAATGAAAAGAAGAATGAAAAAGAAGAATGAAAAGAAGAAGAAGAAGAATGAAGAATGAAAAGAAGAAGAAGAAGAAGAATGAAAAGAAGAAGAAGAAGAATGAAAAGAAGAATGAAAAGAAGAAGAAGAATGAAAAGAAGAAAAGAAGAATGAAAAGAAGAATGAAAGAAGAAGAAAAGAAGAATGAAAAGAAGAATGAAAAGAAGATGAAAGAAGAATGAAATAAGAAGAAGAAGAATGAAAAGAAGAATGAAAAGAAGAAGAAGAAGAATGAAAAGAAGAAGAAGAATGAAAAGAAGAATGAAAAGAAGAAGAAGAAGAATGAAAAGAAGAATGAAAAGAAGAAGAAGAAGAATGAAAAGAAGAAGAAGAAGAAGAATGAAAAGAAGAAGAAGAAGAATGAAAAGAAGAATGAAAAGAAGAATGAAAAGAAGAAGAAGAAGAATGAAAAGAAGAAGAAGAAGAAGAATGAAAAGAAGAAGAAGAAGAATGAAAAGAAGAATGAAAAGAAGAAGAAGAATGAAAAGAAGAAGAAGAATGAAAAGAAGAATGAAAAGAAGAAGAAGAAGAATGAAAAGAAGAATGAAAAGAAGAAGAAGAAGAATGAAAATAAGAAGAAGAAGAATGAAGAATGAAAAGAAGAAGAAGAAGAAGAATGAAAAGAAGAAGTATTCCAGTACAGCAAAAAGTGTATCTGCAGAGAGCTCCGCTATTTCTGACAGTTCTCTGACAGTTCCTTCACATTTACAGCGGTTGAAACATTGTATCTATTTATTTCTGAATAAAAACATCTGTATCCTAAATGGAAACAAATAGATACAATGTTTCAACCGCTGTAAATGAACTGTCAGAACTGTCAGAAATAGCGGAGCTCTCTGCAGTGACACTTTTGCCGGCTGATCGGGAAAAAAATTTGATTCGTGCACCCAAAGTTTGCTAAAATTCGGATTCGATGCGAATCGAATTTTTCCTGAAATTCGAAACGAATTCCACTTCGCCAGGTTCGATTCGCTCATCTCTAGTTATAATCCCACTAACAGTTGCGCGTGGAATATTTAGTAGCCAGGAAATGTCACAGATGGACTCATTGCACGGGTGACAACCTATCACAGGGCCACGCTTGGAGTCACTGAGCTCCTGAGAGCGACCCATTCTTTCACCAATGTTTGTAGAAGCAGTCTGCATGCCTAGGGGATGATTTTATACACCTGTGTCCATGGAGGGGATTGGAACACCTGAATCACATGATTTGGAGGGCTGGCCCACCACTTTTGGTAATCTAGTGTATATCTACAATAAATAGAAATACTATTGCAATGGAAACTATCTATATCTCTGTCTTTATGTCTTCATACCACTTCATCAATCTGAAATGAACTTTCTGACCAACTAGATGTCTATGAATTCTATAACTTGTAAACTCCCGAATTCTTCTCGCACTCTGCACTCAACTCAACTTAATGGTTGAACTGGATGGACTTTTGACTTTTTTCAGCCAGACTAACTATGTAACTCCATGCATTATCATGTAGATTGTAAGCTCCCAGGATCAGGGCCCCCCTATCCCTCTTGTATTGAACTGTATTGTTGCTGGATTGTCTCCGTTTATATTGTAAAGCGCTGAGCAAACCGTTGGTGCTATATAAATCCTGTATAATAATAATAATAATGTAATATTTAACTTAATATATCTTGCTAGGTGAGATCCTGGACTCTGACCTCTCATTCTGGCTCCACATCCAGTCACTGCCAAACGTTTGCTGTTTTCACCTCCGTAACATCTCTAAAATATTGCCCTTCTTAACCAATGACACCACCAAGATACTAATTCGCTCCCTGTTTTTTTCTCACCATGACTATTGCACCTGCCTCCTCGTTGGCTTACTTTAACATAGAGTATACCCCTTTCGGTCCATGATGAATGCTGCTGCCAGACAGATCCACTTTTCCAACCACTCTGCCACTCCACTCTACAAATCCTTCCACTAGCTTCTGATCACCCAATAAATAAAATTCAGAATATTAACAACAACATAAAAAACCATCCACAACTCAGCTACATCACCAACCTTGTCTCAGAATATCACCCAAACCATTCTCTTCACTCCTCCCAAGACCTCCTGCTCTCTAGCTCCCTCCTCACCCATGCTCACCTCCAGAACTTCAGAGCCTCTTCCTTCCTTTGGAATTCCCTGCCCCAACCATTCCTGCTATCTCCTACTCTGTCTACCTTTAGTTGATCCTTGAAGGTCACCCAATGAATAAAATCCAAAATGTTAACAACAACATACAAAGCCATCGACAGCTCAGCTACATCACCAACTTCATCACAAATATCTCCCAAACTGTTCTCCTTGCTCCTCCGAAGACCTCCTTCCCTCTAATTCCCTCATCACCCCCTCACATGCTCACTTTTAGGACTTCTTCAGAGCCTCTTCCATCCTCCTCCTTAGGAGATCCCTGAAAACTCATGGAAGCCTATCCCTTTTCTTGCTAGCGAATGGACCTTTCCTTTCTTCATCAGCTCATCCCTTAGTTATTACCTCTTGTATCACTTACACCAGTGGTTCTCAACCTTCCTAATGCCGCGACCCTTTAATACAGTTCCTCATGTTGTGGTGACCCCCAAACATAAAATTATTTTCGTTGCTACTTCATAACTGTAATTTTGCAGTGGTAGGAGTAGTGCCACATCATTGGTGTCAGTGAGAGGAGTAGTGCCACATCACTGATGTCAGTGGGAGGAATAGTGTCCCATCGTTGGTATCAGTGGGAGGAATAGTGTCCCATCATTGGTATCAGTGGGAGGAATAGTGCCACATTGTTGGTGTCAGTGGGAGGAATAGTGCCCCATCATTGGTGTCAGTGTGGGAAGAATAGTGCCCCATCATTGGTGTCAGTGGGGGGAATAGTGCCCCATCATTGATACTAGTGTGGGGGGGAATTGTGCCCCATCATTGGTGTCAGGGGAGGGGAGTTCCCCATCGTTGGTGTCAGTGGGGGGAGAAATAGTGCCCCATCGTTGGTGTCAGTGGGGGGAGGAATGTCAGTGGGGGGAGGAATAGTGCCCCATCATTGGTGTCAGTGGGGGAGGAATAGTTCCCCATCGTTGGTGTCAGTGGGAGGAATAGTGCCCCATCATTGGTATCAGTGGGAGCAATAGTGCCCCATCATTGGTGTCAGTGGGAGGAATAGTGCCCCATCATTGGTGTCAGTGGGAGGAATAGTGCCCCATCATTGGTATCAGTGGGAGGAAATAGTGCCCCATCATTGGTGTCAGTGGGAGGAATAGTGCCCCATCATTGGTATTAGTGACACCAATGATGGGGCACTATTCCTCCTACTGACACCAATGATACTTACCTTGCTGACTCCTGCTCCAGCCTGGGCTCGCTCCCTCCCTCTCCCATCTACAGCCAGCATACCTGGCTGCAGCAGCACCATCTGCACACTACAGACACTTACCTGTCAGCTGTCTTCCTTCTCCGGCCGCTCCCTTGCTCGATCTTCTTTGATCTTCGCGCTGCTGCTCGGCTCCTCCTCCTCGCCGGTGATTGGCCGCCTGTGTGGCTCTCCTGAGCTACAGTTCCGGCAGCCAATCACTGGCGAGGAGGAGGAGCTGTTGAGTGATCCCGGGGATGTGGCCAGATGACAGGGGCGGCATGTCATCCCGCGCACACATCGCGGTCCAGGGAAATGTGGACGTATCTGCATGTGGGCGGACCCTCTGGAGACTGATAGAGCGGTGTCTCAGTTCCTAAGACCATCGGAAATATGTGTTTTCCGATGGTCTTAGGAGACCCCTGTGAAAGGGTTGTTCGACCCCCAAAGGGGTCGCGACCCACAGGTTGAGAACCGTTGACTTACACATTCCTTTTAGATTGCAAGCTGTAATGAAAATAGCCCTTCTAACCTTCTTTTATTGAATTGAATTGTATTTGTATTGTCTCCCTTCATATTGGAAAGCGCAAACTGTTGGCGCTATATAAATCTTAAATAATCTGGAGAAGTGGCTCCCCAGAATGTGGAAATAAAACCCTTTCTAGCAGGTGAGTGCAATGTTGAAGGCTTCTTGTTGGGTTGATCTTGGTGACAAGTGTCTTTATCGACACGTGTAGCGCCTACCAAGCAGGACCTATTCAAGTGAATGGGGTCACCCTGCAGGCATCCCATGACCAAGTGCAATGCATTCAGTCCAGGATTTCAGATGGTTAAAGCAGGCGGTGAGGGGGCAATACAAAGCCTGTAAAGGGCAAGTGTGATTGAGCCTTAAGTCCCATGATTGAGTCATGTAACATGACGTTGTTTAGGACCAATGTCATTCCCAAGGACCTTGTAAAGCTGATTTTTATTTTGTGTTTGTTAGACTGAAAATGCCTATATGTACCACCCATCATTCACCCCTACACATACCAGCAGGATATTTCGAAAACTGCATGACAAACATGCCTGAATGGGCCTAGATGTACTTGCATTTGATAAATACCCTCCAAATATGATATTATAGATTCTTTTGTAAAACATAGAAATGCAGCTAACCAGACCGCAGGGTGACCAATTAAAAAAAATAATAGATTGTAGATTTTTTTTATTTATTGTTTTTAATTTAGACGTTAAATAAAAATTGTGGAAATGTTTGTGTTTTGATTCTCTTTTTACTTATTTTTAATTCATTTTTTAAATCAGCGTGGAAAACGTTTCACAGAAACGAGTAATTATTTTATGGAGGTCATACGAGGACGTAGGAAAGCTCAGAAAACATGGCTTTGACTAGAAAACAGCAGGCTACACACAAATATATTTAATAAAAGACACCCCACTCCGGATTCACTGTGAAATTTTATTACTGACTTTTTATTAACATTATACATTATAATTATGACTCATTCTTTCTGTCTTCCTGTTTACTTTTGAACCTTAAAGTGTATTTCCACTTTTGCAGCTAAATTGGGACAACACCTCCTTTTATATATTTTACAAGTCCCCATTTACACAGTATAACTTAAAAAAAAATATTTAAAATTTGCACCTAGCCTTTTTTAGATGCTCTATTCTGGACCCTCCAGCGAGGAAAAATTCTAGGCACTTCTCTTTGATTATGAGGGGGCTGGGCTGCTGCGTTTGCCATAATAACCCTGTTGTGTACCATGCAGGCAGTTCTTCATTATCAGTTGTAACCAGATTTGAACACTGTGGGGTTGATTTACTAAAACTGGAGAGTTTTGTTCAGAAAACTTTGCAGTCAGCCATGTTACCTCCTCCTGACATCTAAGACAGTGGTCTCCAAATTTCAGCCCGGGGGCCTGATGCGGCCCTGTGCGTGCCTTTATCCAGTGCTTGGGACACTATTCTTTCCACTGAAAGACACAATTCTGCCAACTGACATCAACAATGGGGTATCTATATCTCCCACTGATACCAACAATGGGACACTAGTCCTCCCACTGATACCAACAACGGGACACTAGTCCTCCCACTGCTACAACAACGGGACACTAGTCCTCCCACTGATACCAACAACCGGACAGTAGTCCTCCCACTGATACCAACAATGGAACACTAGTCCTCTCACTGATACCGACAATGGAACACTAGTCCTCCCACTGATACCAACAACCGGACACTAGTCCTCCCACTGATACCAACAATGGACATTAGTCCTCCCACTGATAGACAATGGAACACTAGTCCTCTCACTGATACCAACAATGGAACACTAGTCCTCTCATGATCTCACCGACAATGGGACACTAGTCCTCTCCCTGATACCGACAATGATAGTCCTCCCACTGACAAATGGGACACACTACCAGTCTCTCCCACTGATACCGAGTCCTCCACTGATACCAACAATGGACACTAGTCCTCCCACTGATACCAACAATGGAACAATGATACCAACAACGGGACAATGGACACTAGTCCTTCCACTGATACCAGCAATGGAACACTAGTCCTCCCACTGATACCAACAACGGGACACTAGTCCTCCCACTGATACCGACAATGGAACACTAGTCCTCCCACTGATACCAACAACCGGACATTAGTCCTCCCACTGATACCAACAATGGAACACTAGTCCTCTCTCTGATACCTACAATGGCACATACCACTGATACCGACAATGGGACACTAGTCCTCCCACTGATACCGACAATGGAACACTAGTCCTCCCACTGATACCAACAACGGGACACTAGTCTTCCCACTGATACCAACAATAGGACACTAGTCCTCCCACTGATACCAACAACCGGACACTACACTGATACCAACAATGGACACTAGTCCTCCCACTGATACCAACAATGGAACACTAGTCCTCCCACTGATACCAACAACGGGACACTAGTCCTCCCACTGATACCCACAACGGGACACTAGTCCTCCACTGATACACAATGGACAAGTCCTCCCACTGATACCAACAATGGAACACTAGTCCTCCCACTGATACCAACAATGGGACACTAGTCCTCCTACTGATACCAACAACGGGACACTAGTCCTCCCACTGATACCAACAATAGGACACTAGTCCTCCCACTGATACCAACAATAGAACACTAGTCTTCCCACTGATACCAACAACGGGACACTAGTCCTCCCACTGATACAAACAATAGAACACTGGTCCTCCCACTGATACAAACAATAGAACACTGGTCCTCCCACTGATACCAACAATAGACACACTGTCCTCCCACTGATACCAACAACGGGACACTAGTCCTCCCACTGATACAAACAATGGGACACTGGTCCTCCCACTGATACCAACAACGGGACACTAGTCCTCCCACTGATACCAACAATAGGACACTAGTCTTCCCACTGATACCAACAATAGAATGCTAGTCTTCCACAAAAACTGTAGCTGCTGACTTCTAAAAAGCAGCCACTCATCTGTCCCTCGATTCAGTGGTGTCCTCACTGTAGCCGGTTTCACCATCCGTCCGTCCTCCCTCTCAGCTCCGCCATCTACATTGTGGGTACCTGGCTGTGACACCTGTGACACCCACACTGCACATGCGCAAGTAGCGCGGCACCTTATGAATGGCCCCGTAGTCTTCTGGGACCTGTCACGTGTCCCACAAGACTACGGGGAGGGAGGGCGAGTGGACAACTTCCGCTTCCGATTGTCTAGGTGATCACAGCGGAAGTGGGAGCGGGTACCTGTCAAAATCAGGTACCTGTTCCTCAAAGGTGCCAATTCCTCTGGGGGAATGGGGGACCAGTACTTAAAGCAGAACTTCCCCTTTTTGTTGGAGCTCCGCTTTAATCCTGTCTGCATATGCAGGCAGATCTTCATCATTAATTGTAACTAGATTTGAATACTGTGATTCTAATTTTGTTTTTTTTGTTTTTTTTTAATAACCATCATGTCTATACTTACCAGCTGTGTGCAGTGGATTTGCACAGAGCAGCCCGGATCCTTCTCTTCTTGGGTCCCCCTGGCCTCTCCCTCCTGTCCGGTGCCTTCACAGCAAGCAGCTTTCTATGGGGGCACCTGCTGCTCCGTGTGTCCATTTACACATGGAGCCCTGGCTTGGCCCCGCCCCATCCCCTCTCTCTTCTCATTGGTTCACTGGCTGTGATTGACAGCAGTGGGAGCCAATGTCTCCCACTTCTGTCTCAGCCAATTAGGAGAGGGAGTCCTGGGATAGCCGAGACTCCAGTGCACATTGCTGGATCGAGAGGGGGGCTTAGATAAGTATTGGGGGGGCTGGGGGGATGCTGCACACAGAAGGTTTTTTACTTTCATGCATAGAATGCATGAAGGTAAAAAAACCTTGAGCCTTTAGAACCACTTTAAAGCAGTAGGTTCTTACCTTAATGCATTCTATGTACACGTGTACCTCGGTTTACGAACGCCTCGGTTAACGTAATTTTCGGTTTACGAATGAAAATCCATTGAACATAATGCCTCAGTTTACTAATTTTTTTCACAATATGAACAGATTAATTGGTTTTCAATGCATTTATGATTTTTTTTAATCATGTCCCTGTACAGTATTTATGCCTTTAAAGTGCACTTTATAAAGAGTTTTGAACAGATAAGACTTTTTTTTTACTTTTTTCTGACCTCCGGAACAGATTAATTGGTTTTCAATGCATTCCTATGGGAAACCGCGTTTTGGTTTACAAATTTTTCACAATACGAAAAGTCCCGCACAACGCATTAAATTCGTAAACCGAAGTACGCCTGTATTAAGGTAAAAAACATTCTGCATGCAGCTGCCCCCCCCCCCCCCTTATACTCACCTGAGCCTCCTCTTAGTCCAGTGATGTGCACGAGATCAGCGGCTCCTCAGCTCTCTCCCTCCTCATTGGCTCAGACACAGCAGTGGTAGCCATTGGCTAGTGAGGAGGAAGCGGGGTGTGGCCGAGCTGTGCTCCGTGTGTCTTAAGAACATACTGAGCTGGCTTGGGAGCGAGCACACACGAGTGCCCCCATAGTAAGCAGCTTGCTATCAGGGCACTTGGGTGGGGGGAGGAGCGAGGAGCATCACAGGGGACCCGAGGGGTAGGATCAGGGCAAAACCATTACACAGAGCAGGTAATATAACATGTTTTTTATTTTTAAAAAATGAAAAAAAAATCCTTTACAATCACTTTAAGGTGTCTTTTATGTTTATTTCCAGTTATCGTCAGCTCCATCTAGTGGCCTGGAGGTATTTCTGAAAAATGCTGCATCGTGTCCACTAGATGGCGCTGACGATCATAGGAAATAAACATATTAGACACATTCCGGGCATTATTCACGATGGCTGTGTGAATG